CCGTGGTGCGCCTGTGATGGGACCGTCCCCGCCTGCACCCCCCAGATCGTGCACAGCAGCAGTCCTGGCTTTGCTCTGGGTCTCAGCTGCAGGGGTTGCTGTTACAGCGTTATTTCCCAGCCAGCCCCACCGTTGTGCCTCTTTGAGATCTCATTATTGGTAATGAATAATAATTCTTCATTTGCCCCAGGAGATCCAGATGGCCATTAATGTGCCCAAGGCACCCCCAGGCTCTCATCAGGGATCCGGCCCGGGTCTCGCTGTTCCTGCCCACGGCCCGGGTGGTGTGGGTGTGGTCCCAGGGAAAGGCGGTGAGAGGACCAGCCCTTGGAGCCCCGGGTGGTTCTCCTGCAATATCTTGAAATAAGGACATTCCCCCTCCACGTCCGCCCGTGCCCTGCCAGACGGGGCCCTGGAGCGGGGAGAGTGTCATGGAACTTCTCCCATCAGGAAGCAGCCGACGCTTCAGCCGGCCCGACCTCTGTCTCTTTTTCAGAAGAGCCGCCGGCACCCTCCGACCCCTTTTCCCTGAAAACCATCGAGGATGTGAGAGAGTTTCTGGGGAGACACGCCGAGAGGTTCGACAGGAACATCGCCTCTTTCCACCGGGCGTTCCGGGAGTGTGAGAGGAAGAGCCTCCGCCAGCACATAGTCAGTAGCCGCGCCGCGGCCCGCCCCGCCTGCCCGCCTCCGCCCGCCCGCTCGGGCTCCTCGGCCCTCTGTCCGCCCTGGGACTGTGCCCGCCGCCGCCTCCCCCGTTGCAAGATCCGTATAAATGTTTCTGACTATAAAAGTGGTGGAGCCGGTGCTCAGCCACGTGCCTGTAGTCCCAGCTACTTGGGAGGCTGAGGCGGGAGGATCCGTGGAGGCTAGGAGTTCGAGGGCAGCCTGGGAACGTGGCAAGGCACTTGTTTCTCTTTTTTTAAAAAAAAAGTATCAGCCGGGCGCAGTGGCTCATGCCTGTAATCCTAGCTCTCTGGGAGGCCGAGGCGGGAGGATCGCTCGAGGTCAGGAGTTTGAAACCAGCCTGAGCAAGAGCGAGACCCGGTCTCTACTATAAATAGAAAGACATTAATTGGCCAACTAACATATATAGAAAAAATTAGCCGGGCATGGTGGCGCACGCCTGTAGTCCCAGCTACTCGGGAGGCTGAGGCAGGAGGATCGCTTGAGCCCAGGAGTCTGAGGTTGCTGTGAGCCAGGCTGACACCACGGCACTCACTCTAGCCTGGGCAACAAGCGAGACTCTGTCTCAAAAAAAAAAGAGTCCATGGCGTAGTTGCTTAGGTAGATCTCGCGTTGGCACGGGAAGCTCCGGGGCGCCCCGCGGCCAGGCTTGAGTGTTGCGGCCCGTCTCTCCGCAGGACGCGGTGAACGCGCTGTACACCAAATGCCTGCAGCAGCTGCTGCGGGACTCGCACCTGGTAAGCAGCCGGGCTTCCCAGAGGGGGGGCTGCGGTTTGCCGCGTGCGGGCCCGAGCTCTTTAACTGCCCTCCTCTGTCCTGCAGAGAGCCCTGGCCAAGCAGGAGGCCCAGATGAGCCTGATGAAGCAGGCCGTGGAGGTGAGGGCAGGGCAGTGGCGGGGAGGCTCGCCGCGGCCCGGCCCGCGCCCTGACCCGGGCTCCGTTGGTTTCACAGATGTACGTCCACCACGAGGTTTACGACCTGGTCTTCAGATACGTGGGCACCGTGGAGGCGGGCGAGGTAGGCGCCCGGCCTCGTGGCCCGGGAGGGAGGCCCCGGGCTGCGCTTTCTGAGGGGTCTCAAGCTTGGCTGACGTCTGTTGTCAGGATGCCGCCTTTAACAAAATCACAAGGAGCCTTCAAGATCTGCAGCAGAAAGACATCGGCGTGAAGCCTGAGTTCAGGTGAGGGTGTGCGCCGATTTCTCCCTGACGCGGGGCTCTCGGCGGCAGGGGGGCACGCCGATTTGGGGGGTCGAGGGGCGGGGAAGTTACCAGCGACCTAATAGAAAGGGCTGAAGGTGACAGGTGACTGTTCAGTGACCCCCTTCACGCTCACGCCCGGCCCCCGCCCTCACCTGTGCACTAGCGTGCGGGCTGGACGGGAGCTGCCAGGGACGGGCTCTGCACACCTGGCTCTAGGTGGGCACGTGACTCGCCCAGGGGGGTTCTGTGTGCAGCGCGCCCCCCTCACCTGCCCCTCTTGGGGGAACCCGGCCGTAGGGGCACTCCCTATTAAGTTTCATCAGGGTACAAAAATGTCTGAAGTGTCTGTGTTTAAACTCCCCCCACCTTTGTGCTATTTCCTTCTGGGGCTAAGAGTTTTTATCTTTTCCCCAAATTTCTGGTGTAGCGCTGGCTCTCTCTTTTTTTTTTTTCCCTCCTGGTGATCTCCCCAGCTCTCTGTCACCTGGCAGCCCCAATGGCATTTAAAGCTGTTGTGTTTTGCCACCGACTTGAGTCAGATTCCAGCATCTTGTTTCCCCCAACCCTGATGGTTTGTTGGGACACACACATGACCCGAGCCGTGTTGTTACTGGATCAAGGAAGAAGGGCTGAAGTTGTCACTTTCCCAACCACTTCACAGCTTCAACATACCCCGTGCGAAGAGAGAGCTGGCTCAGCTGAACAAGTGCACCTCCCCACAGCAGAAGCTGGTCTGCCTGCGGAAGGTGGTGCAGCTGATCACGCAGTCTCCCAGCCAGAGAGGTTTGTGCTCCAGGGTGGCCGAGGGTGGCCACACCCATCGGACAAAACGGTCTGCCAAGGGGTGGCGCTGTGCAACGGGTCGCACAGCTCGGAGTCTGCTCTTGGGGGGGGGTGCTTAGTTTGGAGAGTAGGCTAGACACAGGGAGGGCAAGAAAACAGGGATGGAGAGGGAGGGCCCTCAGAAGTGAGCTGAGCCCGTGATGGTTTCATGGGGGTTCAACAGTTTGCTAGAATGTTCTCCCGAAATTTATTTTATTTTATTTATTTTGAGACAGAGTCTCGCTTTGTTGCCCAGGCTAGAGTGAGTGCCGTGGCATCAGCCTAGCTCACAGCAACCTCAAACTCCTGGGCTCAAGCGATCCTCCTGCCTCAGCCTCCCGAGTAGCTGGGACTACAGGCATGCGCCACCATGCCTGGCTGATATTTTTTTCTATATATATTAGTTGGCCAATTAATTTCTTTCTATTTATAGTAGACACGGGGTCTCGTTCTTGCTCAGGCTGGTTTTGAACACCTGACCTCGAGCAATCCGCCCGCCTCGGCCTCCCAGAGTGCTAGGATTACAGGTGTGAGCCACCGCGCCCGGCCAAGACGGTAAATGTTTAAAAGCAAATGTCAAGCACTAACAACAGAGCCACTGTGTATGATGTTCAGGTCTTGCATTGCACAGGGGTGCCAGCTAGCAGGGCTGTCAGATGGGCCACTGTGCAGCCCGTGAGCTGTGCCCACTGGGAAGGGGGGTGCCTTTTCCTGATTCTTACGATGGTACCATGTGAGCTTGTAGTCACCGGTGGCAGGCCGGTGTGCAGGACTGTCTGCCAAAAACAGTGAAGGTGGCATGTAAAGGACCCTCGTGGGGACCCTGCAGGCGGGTATTAGTATTCTCTGTTGCACAGACCAAGGTGGAGGCTCAGAGAGCTGGAAAGACATGGCTAGAAAGAAATCGGATCTTTTCTGTGCCTGTTTTGTGGACTTGCTCTCTGACAGGCTGGTGCAGCCACACTGATCCGTGCTAAGCGGGGCAGCCCAGGGAGACGGGGCGCCAGCTGTGGGCTGTTCTTGAAACATGCAGAGCACCTGCTCACGTTGGTCAGCAGCGTGTAGCAGTTTGCAGACGGCGACGTCCCTAAAACAGCAAGTGAGTTGAACATTGACTTGTAGACTTTTGTTCACAGCCCTTTCGGTCACAGGTCAGATCAGGGCAGACTCTGGCCTCCGAAATCGCAGTTCCGGTGGCAGTGGCAGGTGTACAAAATAAAAAAATCCAGGTGGATTAAAGACCTAAAAATAAAAAACTTTAATATTTTTTAGAAATTATAGGACTGTATGCGCTTTGGAATTGGAAAGGATGTGGTTTCAGGTAGTGTTTGCTGCGTAACAAACCCAGCCCAAACCTTGGTGGCTTAAATAGTTGCCGTTTGTTACTTCCTACTGTTACGTAGGTTGGCCAGGTGGTCCTGCTGGGCTTACCTGGGCTGCAGCCCCTGGGCCCGTGTTCCAGCTGGTGGGTTGGCCGTGCGCCACTGGACCACCTCTCTCCCCTTTGTGGCCTTTCATCCTGTTGGCTCTTCGTAGCACGGTGGTCTTGGGCGCCGCCGAGAGAGATGAGAGTGGGCTCCCGCAAGGCCTCTTGAGGCCGACACCCCCAGGATGAACAGGGTCAGTTCTGCCTGTTGGTCGAAGCAAGTCACGGGCCGGCTCAGGTGCAGGGGTGGGGAAGTACACTCCACCTTCTGATGGGGGGAGGGATGATGACGTCGCCTGGCAGAGGAGCGTGCCGGAGGATGCACTTGATTCTCGGAAGAAAATCTTGAGGCAAACGTGGCAAAACGTTAAGCTCCCTTAATTCTGGTGTGGTAGATTTGCATTATCCCTCAGTACTTTTTCCGCGTGGCTTGAAGCATTTCATTAAAAATGCATGTGTATCTTTAGAACGCAGAATGTCATGGTTTTTGGTCATGTAGGCTGGTCTAAGAATAGCCATTTATACTTTGCCATGCGTGCAGTTTCACAGTATTTTCTGAGCACGATTTACACATCCAACCAATAAACAGGTCATCTTGGAACTGGTGGATGACATTTCGGTATTTCCTGATGGGGTCCGTGGGGACAATGGTACGCATGGTACAAGCATGCTTCCTGGGAAGTGCCAGAAGAAGACTCTGCGTGTCATGTACACCTGAAAACGGTCGTTTATGGCTTTTCCCCCTCTCTCGTCCCAGGAAACTCACTCTGACCCCTCTGAAGTCCATATGGCTCTGTATGATGAAGACCTCCTGAAAAATCCCTTCTATCTGGCTCTTCAGAAGTGGCGCCCCGACTTGTGCAAGCAAGGTGGCCCAAGTCCACGGCATCGTAAGTGCGCTGACCTTGAGGGTGTCCTTGGGCGGGACCGTGGCAGACCGGGGTTAGGTTGAGGGGAAGTCCGTTGGGAGCCTGCTCAGGTTTAGCAAGCCCCGGAGCGTGCCTGGCGCCTGCGCTGAGCAGCGAGGGGCCAGCATGAGTTGCTTCTCCAGAAAGCCCCCTGGGACTGCAGCCCAGGGTGCGGCGATCCTTTCTCTGAACTCCCGCCGCTGTCTGTGGCTGATGGTGCCTTGCGTGTGAGTAGCCCCCCAGCGGCCACTGGGTCGCACACGGTGGTGGATCACCTTCGTCTCTCGCTCTCTGTCGGCCATGGAGGGCTTCTCCGGGCAGGAATCCGCCCTCCCTGGAGCCGCACGGCACGCCGCCTGTGTCTGGAGGTGGGTGCTCACTCCCGCAGGGCAGTGTTCGCACGTTCACACACAGCTTCGAAAGGCGCTTCCCAAGGCAAGAGCGTGGATGGAAGAATTTCGGGCCGGGCGCGGTGGCTCACGCCTGTGATCCCCGCACTCTGGGAGGCGAGGCAGGAGGATCGCTCGACGAGTCAGGAGTTCCGAGACCAGCCTGAGCGGAGCCAGCCCCGTCTCTGCTCATAAATAGAAGAAATAATTGATGCCAACTGAGGAAAATATATAGAAAAATTGGGCATGGTGGTGGCGTGCCTGGTAGTCCCAGCTACTCGGGAGGCTGAGGCAGGAGGATCGCTGGAGCCCAGGAGTCTGAGGCTGCTGTGAGCTAGGCGCTGATGCCACGGCACTCACTCTAGCCTGGGCAACAAAGTGAGACTCTGTCTCAAAAACAAAAAAAAAAAGGAAAGAAAAGAAAGAACTTCTCTAGCAGAGGCCACACCCTCAGAGGGCCTACAGGGCAGCCGGGTGACAGGACAAGGGCAGCAAGGTAGGAGAATCCGCAGCCGCTCTCGGCGCGGGCCCTGCCTGAGGGCGGCAGGCCCCGGGTTCGGGTCTTCCCGGTTCTCGGGTCCGCGAGCTCGGCGGGCGCCTTATTTAGAGAGCGCCGCGGGACGCGGTGGTGGCCCCGTGCCCCCGTGCCATCCGCGGCCTCCTGCTCCGGCCTTCTGTCCTCGTTCTGCGCGCCGTTCCCTCCTCCTCACGCGGCACGGCCCATTCTCTCACCAGGTTCAGTGCAGATGATCAGCGGCCGTCAGCTCTTTTGCGAGGCAGGTGCCACGTCCCAGCCTCCGGTTCTTTCCCCTGGGCCTGTGGCGAGGTCTGTGATGTTTCCCTGCAGACCATCCTGGCGACTGCTCCCGTGGCCCACTCTCCCAGCCGCTGGCGGACGTGGCGCCTCGTTTATCCAGCGGCCTGTGGCCGGGAGTGTTAGCGCCACCGCGGGCCGGATCCGGCCTGGTCCCGGGGTCAGTCTCGGTTCCCCTGCGCCCGGGCTTGGGCGGGTGGTGTCTCAGAACGCCCTGCACGGTTTTCGGTGGAACCTGCTCCAGAGCGGGCGCCGGGCACCCGAGGCATCTCTGGGTGGCTTCGTCGCATCCCTGCGATGGTCACAACTGGCGTTTAGGGGACAAGCATGGTGGTGGGGCAACGCAGAGGCAGGCATCGGTAGTCCCAGCTACTTGGGAGGCTGAGGTGGGAGGATCACTTGAGCCCAGGAGTTTGAGACCAGCGCTGGCAACACAGCAAGGCCCGTCTCTATTTAAAACAAAATAAAAAAGACATAGAAAAAAGGATTAGAAGAAAGCCATCTTCCGTGTGAAGTGTTTCTCTCTCGGGTAGTGGGATCAGTGTGACTCTGTTTGTGTTTTATTTTTTTTTTTTTTGAGACAGAGTCTAGCTTTGTTGGTTCCAGGCTGGAGTGAGTGCCATGGTGTCAGTCTCGCTCCAGCAACCTCAGACTCCTGGGCTCAAGCGATCCTCCTGCCTCAGCCTCCCGAGGTAGCTGGGACTACAGCATGCGCCACCATGCCGGCTAAGATTTTCTATATTTTTTTTCAGTTGGCCAATTAATTTCTTTCTATTTATAGTAGAGATGGAGTCTTGCTCTTGCTCAGGCTGGTTTGGAGGC